GGCTGGGAAGCCAACTCATTTTAAGCAAGCGTTAACTAACATTTATAGGCAGGCAAAAATGAGTGACAGACATATGATGAATAAGATACGAAGTGTACACATATGCGCTCATATAAAAAGTACTCAAGGTTAATAAGCAAATGATTAACAAGATCAAAAGATGACTCAATGTACAGGTGAATTGGCTTGGCCAGTAACTAGAATAAAGTATATGGGCCTAACATATGAACTGGTACTACAAGTTAAAGCATTCTACTAGCAACAGGCGTTGGTAATGCAAATGGTCGCATGGTGTTAGCCTCAAAGGCAAATCTACAGTAAGCAGACCGGGAAGTCCACTTTCAGCCTGATGTGGACGATCATTGGGATTTATTACAGCAAAGGATCTTATGTAATACAAAACAGCCTGTCGCGCTAACAGCCCCTTCAAAATTACAAGCAACCAAGAGTCGCACTCTTCGATTGCTTAGGCACAAAATGCACCACTGAGCGGAAGGTGAACAAGCAAGTAACAGCAGCATATATGGGCACAAGGACAATATGAGAAAAAAGTATTTAGCACAAGGTAAAGCTAATCGATGAATTTGTTTAAGATTTCTGAACAACACTAGAAAACGCTAAAACTCACGCTGAGTGTACTGAAGTAAGCGATCGAAGAAGAGCATCAGGACAGATGAGCTGAAATATGTAAAAGGACTGAAAGAGGGAGCAAAATAAGAAATAAAAACGAACTGTGTAGCGCGACTGTAATTGTTGAGGCGATTACGAGTTCCCCTAATCTGTGAACAAAAGAAAGACTTGTGGCCGAAGACCTATAAGCTATTTCTTCTGACGCGTTCCAGACCCTCTGACTAGAATGAGAAGTGGGGAAGATATATTCCGTAAGCAGCCGGAAGCACAAGCAAACACAACTGGTACAAATCAAACGTTTACATACAGCATAAAATTGTCCTTGGGAAGCGTTACAAAATAGCTTACTAAAAGATACAACGGACCAATAGTGTTTAAGATTTTCCCAAGTGGTGAAAGGAGCGCTTTAGGAGCGAAAACAAAGAAATTCAAATTATCAATATAAAATTACAAAAATAAGTCATTCAACAAGTAAGTTCTGGGGATCTAACATCTCCAAGAGCGACCAAGAAGCTAGTAGGGACATATAGTAAAGTGCAAAGACCAGTCTGAAACAATGCAAAAAACTGTTCACTGAGGCGAATAGAGGACATTGGACATCCCTTGAATAGATCAATGCCGCTGGGTATCAAAGTAATACATACAAAGCTCTGTATATTTTCACAGTTCATCAACAATAAAAAGAGAGTAAATGGACCACCAGATCAATCACGAGCGACAATGCAGCAGACTAGGTAGCCCAGATGGAAACACTCAAGTCAAATATAACAGTGACTGTACAGATGTTCCATGCTATCTTCGCAGAGGACAAGAACCAATAAACTAGAAAGAAGAGACACCTCACCCCCATGACATATAAGCGAGATCTTAATAAGTATTATAACTAGAGAGTCACCCAATTACTGTCAATACCAGAGTGGATAAGAAAGCCTGGTGGAATGTTCTTTGAAACTTCGGAGTGTATTAGAAGGTCATCGCCATCACATGGAACTCTCATGAGGGACTGTATTCCAAGTTCACGCATACACACAACACATGGATAATGTCCAAGTAAAAACTGCAGTCGAACAAGACTGCCGAATGTCATCTGCTCACTTTCTTCTGGTTATTGATTGGATTAGAAAGGCCTCTACATCTCAGAAATTCTACGCAATTCAATGGACACTTCGGAATAAACTGAATGTTTCGAACTTCGTGTATGACTTGGATCATCTATCACACACAACATTAAATGCTGATGAAGACAACCAGTGCAGCCAAAGCTTTCGCAGAAATAAGGCTCAACATTCCTAATGGAAAAAGATCATGAAGTTTAAAATAGCAAGAACCGACAGAATAATATTTGACAGTGAAGCTCTGAATGAGCTGGAAACCTTCACGTGCTTAAGAAATCGATAAACAAGAAGCATTTGATACAGACGTGAGTTGGGAAGGCAAACGGAGCATTCCTATCACTGAAAAATATTTGGAAGTCCGAGCAACCGTAACCTAAGACTATAATCATAACTTCCAAAGCTAACATCAAAACAATTCTACTATGCAGGACTGGGACATTAAGAAATATTCACAACATACATAAAATAGTGTACGCATTAATAAGTAACTGTCTACCATGATACCGTCAATCCATTTTCTAGGCGCCATCATGTGGTGTTTGTATGAACTAATGATTTCTTTGTACTTGATAACTGCTTGATTTTGCATTTTAAACACAAAACGTTTGTTCGTGCGGCGAGACTAAAGAACATGGACGACCTCTGAACGAATCTTAAATGACCTTGAGAAATATTAGCCAATCAGAAGACAGTTAGTGTGCAGTAAAAATTTATTATACAAAACCAAAGAATTAAAGTGGATACTGTTCTTTTACATGAGTTAAAAACTTATCAAGGTTGGATATAGGTTCGGAAGTTCTAAAGTCTTATTGCATGCGGTACATGAATTCATCCATACGGCTCCATAGTAGTCTGCCTCTGGAGCCATGATAAGGTCTCAAAAACTCTTTCAGTCTTGACCACATAGATTCTATGTTGTTAGTATGCCCCCCAGTAGTAGGGTCAACGAAATGGCGCTTATGTATAACGACTTCATGCACATATCCCAGTCTACCTAGATACCTGTACGCTCTCCAATCATCTATATAAACAGTAGTGCCCAGGAGCACATATTGCTGTATAATCGGTATGATTGTTGGTGCCTGCCGGTTCCTGACTCTTTGAAAATGTCCTTTTTGTAATGATCTATCATATATTCCAAGGACCTGTGAGGTATATTTATGGAAGAGGTACTTACCCAATCTTCTTTAATACAAAAGCCACGGTTGTATTTGCGTTTCCTTACAACCGTTTCGTCTATTTCAACAATGTTCCCTACTCCTCCATACAATTGCTGTACGCTTGCCAGTTTTGTTGCGCAAATATCTCGGCAAAACTTGTACCACTGAAATGCCGAAACTTCGCTTACATCGGCAAAGGTGACAGCTAGTGTTACCGGTGATTTTATTATTCAATTCGCGACAAGGAGCATAATTTGTCTCAACCTTAATTTTGACCGAGCGAAAAAAGTCCCTGTTCGAGCTGATTTCTTCCTCCAACATGAAGGACATCGAAAGATAATATCATCACGATAGTCTGCACACTGTACAATGGTCATTTGACTACCGCAGTCACAAGTATAGGAGCTTCTCAATAATCCCTTTTCTTGTAGTCGCTCAATTATCACGTATTCTCGAAAATCCGCCGTAAAGCGATCGTACGTAAGCATCATGTTGCGAAATTACCACCGTGACCTTGAAAACCCGCGAAAGCTTCTGATTGACTCGTCCATGTTCTTTAGTCTCGCCGTTCGTGTTCATCTAGTTCCCTTTGGTTAAACTGAGTTATTCCTGGGATTCCTAATTCATATAATAATTCAGATACTTCTAATTATCACATTGGCATCACGAGCAGGATCCTGTAATGGAACAATTGTACATACATTCAGATTTTGATGCTTTTGAGGATTATATGGAAAGGTTCGAAATCAGGCAATAATCAAGTACACGGGGGTCATAAGTTCATACAAACACCACATATAAGCAATAACCGGCGAGACTATAATTTATGGACGAGCCAATTAGAAGAGGTTGAAGGATTTCATGGTCACGGCGCTAATTTCGGTGCCTAATGCTCATGTACGATCGGTTTACAGAGAATTTTGGAGAAGACTTGACAATTAAGCCGCTACAACAAATGAGACTACTAAGAAGTTCCTTTATTTGTGATTGTGGTAATTAAGTGACTTGTAGACGATGTGCAGACTACCGTGATGTTGTCTTTCGATGTAATATATGTTGAAGGGAGCCGTTCGCTAGAATGGACACTTTTATCGCTCGATCCAGGTTGAAAACAAGGCATATTATCATAATTGCTGCAAGCTGTATAATAAAAGCATCAAAAACATTGGTTTCAATGATCGCAGATGTTACTGAAGCTTCGGCTGCTTAGTGGCATGCGTATTGTAGGGACACATCCATAATAAAAATGATAAACTTACGCAACCGGAGCACACACAAACAATACTGAAGCTATGTGGTCGAGGCCGAAAGGGTTTTTGTGACCTTTTCATGGCTCCAGAGACCAACTATTATGGAGCCATATGGATGATCTCCTTTACCTTATGCATTACGATTTTGGAACCTTTTTCTAACATTGACAAGTTTTTGGACCATACAAACGAAGTGTGTCCACTTTAATTATTTGGTTTTGTATAGTCCATTTTTACTCTGTGCTGACTGTTTACTGAATTGCTAACATTCTTCAAGGTTACTTAATTTTCGTTCAAAGGTCGTCCATAAATTATAGTCTCGCCATAATAAAAGGCGACCATTAGATTGCATTGCAGGAAAAATCGTAGCTTAGAATGCTGAAAGGAAAACGGAAAGTGGCAGGTCAAGAAACACATGACTCGGGGAAGTGGAAGTAAACATAAAAACTATGAATAGGATTGGGGAACAAGTAGGAAGGAGAGCTCATGGCTGAGTTGTTGGCAGATCTTTGATTGCTAGACTTCGCCTCAAGATCAGTAAGAAGTTTAAGTAGGTTATAAGCAAACCATTTAATAGTTTGGATTTTCAAAAGTACTTTATAAATTCAAACCAAGTGTAACCCTTCATTATTTAAGTGTACTACGCTGAATTCTTTTAACCACTACACGAGACTGATGAAAATACTGTTAAAACTTGACTTAATATTAAAACAGTTCTCGATAGTGAGAGTCATGATTTTGAGGCATAAATATTAACGTTATGGATTGTAGTAACCTACCAGGCTATTATAATTACACCCACTCATAATATTCATGGCTTCACAAGCGAATATCTATGAATTACTATTATTAATGTTTCAGTTAAAAGACTATTTACGATGCCTAACAATTCAATTTTTTATGTATTTCTCAGCTTCCACTTATTTACATCATATCGTCAATATCATGTAATGCGTACTGTTGTTTGGGTAAAATGATTACCATATTTCTAAAATGTTTCACAATTTCAACCCAATAAATCAATATTCAAAAAATAAATGGAGCCTTTATTGTTTTTCATTTTTTTTAATGTACTAAAACATGACTAAATTGGAAAAATTTGTTCAATTAAATTAAAAAAAAGTGCTACATTGTTATTCACTGAAATGTACTTGTTGAATATGATCATTAGTAAGAACTGAAGTAAAAAGTTATATATATTTATATTCATAAATATTGTGAGACAAATTCAATAAATTCTTCATAATTTAATCTTCCATCTTTATTTTTATCATATTTATCAACCCATTGGTCAACTTGTATAGGAAATATAAAATTACAATCACTTTTCATATAATTTTTTAATTCTTGCTTTGAAATAGTTTTATCTTTATTTTTATCCATTTCACGAAATATTTTTTTTAATGCAGCACATCTTTTAAATAAATATTAAAAATAAATAAATAAATATTGTTTTAATAAAATGAGATTAATATTTAAAAGAAAATTATATTGTTACAGTTCAGTCTTCTTTTTCTCAATGAAAGCGTACTGCAAATCAGATATTATGTAATTTCAATAGTTGAGATAATGAGTCAATTGAAGCTAGACCATCATGGAAAACCTGAAAGCATTGGACGGTCGTTTCGTCCTATTGCGAGACTCCTCAGAAGTGCGCATCCACGATCCCGCATCACAAGATTAGAACATAGGACCTAACAGTCTCGCGTGCGAGCACTTAACCGATAGACTACTGAGCCGGTATCCAACGGTATTAATGTCTAACTTCAATCAATCCACGAAATTGAGTGACACATCCACCATTGTCTTCAGTGAGTTACTATCTCACAACAGACTCGGTTGAACTCCATTGATCACTGCTTCACACTAGAACTCTAGGAAATAACTTTTGAAGGTAGTCACTAGTAAGCATATGTTGATTAATTATCAGGAGGGGGTTTTGTGGATATTATAGAATTTGTTATAAAATATCTATCTTTGGATTAGACATTGATTTACTACGTCCTGAAGAATAATCAGTAACCTCACTAGATATCAAATCTCTCTTTCATAGTAACAGGAAATTTTTATTTCACAACGAACAGTTGAGATGGTGGGGAAGATATGTAGCTCAGGTGTGTAATTTTGATGTAGGTTTGTTCTCTGAGCTGGATGGTTTGGTCGTGGAGCTTTCATCGTCCTTCTGAACAACGAACAGTTATCTTTAATAAGAATGATCTACTGTAAGATCAGGTTGTTTGAAAAGATTATTTACCGAATAATGAGATTAATTTCAAAAGCTTATTAATATTAAAATTTACTGACTCTTAGATTGAACATTATTATTACAATATTAGTAGATTAATAATAGATTTGGATAAAATTAAAAACGATGTTGAACGTTTTTTCTGATGACTGATTACTTAGGATAAATGTCATTTACTACAGTGTTGATAACTATAGTTAATTATTCACACTTTTTTCTACAGTTAACAAAAACAAACTGGCACTTAAGAACTTAAACACAAAAACGTTTCCACAATTCTAATGCTAGTTAACAGTATTCCTTATTTTACTAAAAAGTGCTTTGTAGACTCATTGATAATATTATCTAAGTAAATCATGTTTCGGCCTATACTCCATTGGGGATAATACTTACTTACTTGCTTGCTTACTTACTTACTTACTTACTTACGCCTGTTACTCCCAATGGAGCATAGGCCGCCGACCAGCTTTCTCCAACCCACTCTGTCCTGGGCCTTCTTTTCTAGTTCTATCCAGTTCTTGTTCATTCTTCTCATGTCTGTCTCTATTTCTCGGCGTAATGTGTTCTTTGGTCTTGCTCTTCTCCGTTGACCTTCAGGATTCCATGTGAGGGCTTGTCTTGTGACACAATTGGGTGGCTTCCTCAAGGTGTGCTCAATCCACTTCCAGCGCTTCTTCCTGATTTCTTCCTCTGCTGGAATCTGGTTTGTTCTCTCCCACAGTAACTTATTGCTGATAGTGTCTGGCCATCGGATCCGAAGTATTTTGCGTAGACAGCTGTTGATGAATACTTGTATCTTCTGGATAATGGCTTTCGTAGTTCTCCACGTCTCCGCCCCATACAATAGAACTGTCTTGACATTTGTATTGAAAATTCTAACCTTGGTGTTGGTTGACAATTGTTTTGAGCTCCAGATGCTTTTCAGTTGTAGGTATGCTGCTCTTGCTTTGCTGATCCTCGCCCTCACATCTGCATCTGATCCACCGAGTTCATCAATGATGCTGCCCAGATATGTAAAGGTTTCCACATCCTCCAAAGCTTCTCCGTCAAGTGTAATTTGATTGGTGCATATTGTATTGTATCGGAGAGTCTTGCTTTTCTGTTTGTTCATATTGAGACCTACTGCTGCTGAGGCTGCTGCTACACTGGTCGTTTTCTCCTGCATTTGTTGTTGCGTTTGTGATAGAAGAGCCAGATCATCCGCGAAGTCTAAATCGTCAAGCTGCATCCTGCCTGTCCACTGTATCCCGTGCATTCCTCCAGATGTTGACGTCTTCATAATCCAGTCGATCACCAGGAGAAAGAGAAAGGGTGAGAGTAAGCAACCTTGCCTAACACCGGTCTTCACTTGAAACGAGTCGGTAAGTTGTCCTCCGTGGACGATTTGGCAGTTTAGTCCATCATAGGAGTTCCGTATGATATTTACTATTTTCTCAGGCACGCCGTAGTGTCGAAGAAGCCTCCATAGTGTCGTCCTGTCCACGCTATCAAATGCTTTCTCGTAGTCAATGAAGTTGATGTAGAGTGATGAATTCCATTCGATTGATTGTTCCACAATGATCCGCAGAGTTGCGATTTGATCTGTGCACGATCTATCCTTACGAAATCCACCCTGTTGATCTCGAAGTCGGGTGTCCACGGAATCCTTCATCTTGTTTAACAATACTCGGTTGAAGACTTTCTCTGGTATTGAGAGGAGAGTGATGCCCCTGTAGTTGTCGCACTTGCTAAGATCACCTTTCTTTGGTATCTTGATCAGAAGTCCTTTTTTCCAGTCTGTTGGTACTTGTTCTTCGTCCCAAATCTTACTGAAGAGGATGTGGAGTATCTTGGCAGTTGCTGTTACATTTGCTTTCAGTGCCTCTGCCGGGATGTTGTCTGGTCCCGCTGCTTTGCCGCTCTTGATTTGTCTAATGGCCATGCTGATCTCTTCAATTGTTGGTGGGCTAACATCGATTGGGAGGTCTGTGGGTGCTGCTCGGATGTTGAGTGGGTTCAGTGGAGTTGGTCGATTCAAGAGTTCCTTGAAGTGTTCTACCCACCTGTTTCGTTGTTCTTCAATGTCGGTGATTACTTTGCCTTCCTTGCTTTTCACTGGTCTTTCTGGCTTACGGTAATTTCCAGCAAGTTTCTTTGTCGTATCATACAGTTGTCTCATGTTTCCCTCTCTTGCAGCCTTTTCCGCTGTCATCGCTAAATCTTCCACATATTTACGTCGGTCGGTCCTGATGCTCCTCTTCACTTGCTTGTTTGCCTCTGTGTATTCGGCTTGTGCCTTGGCTTTTTCCGCTCTGGTTAGGCAGATATTGATTGCTGCCTTCTTGTTCTTCCTTTCTTCAATTTTATCCAGTGTACCAACAGTGATCCATTCCTTGTGATGGTGCTTCTTTTGACCCAGAACCTCCTGACATGTTGAAACGATTGCCTCCTTGATACCTTTCCAGTTGCTCTCCATGGTAGTTCCCTCTCCATTGAGTAGATCATGAAAGGCCTGGAACCTGTTGCTGAGGGCTATGTTGAATTTGTTGAGTTTGTCAGCATCTCGAAGAAAGGCCGTATTAAACTTTTGTGATGTTGTCCGCACCGTTGTCCAGTGCTTCTTGAGTTTTAGTTTCATCTTGGCGACCAGCAAATGATGATCGGATGCTATATCAGCTCCTCTTCTGGTTCTCACATCCTCCATCGTCCTCCTGAACTTTTTGTTGATGCAGATATGGTCGATTTGATTCTGTGTAGTGTGATCCGGTGAAATCCAAGTGGCTTTGTGCATGTTTTTGTGTGAGAATATGGTGCCACCTATGACCCGTTTATTGAAGGCACATAGGTTTGCAAATCTCTCACCATTTTCGTTCCTTTCTCTCAGTCCATGTTGTCCCATGACGACTTCGTATCCAGTGTTGTCCTTTCCAAACTTGGTATTGAAATCTCCCATCAGAATGGTCAGGTCTTTGGTTGGGCACTTCTCGAAAATCGACTGTAACCTGTCGTAGAATTGGTCTTTAGCGTCTTCATCGTAGTCGTTGGTCGGCGCATAGCATTGGATGACGTTCATTTTAATGCCCTCTCTCTTTGTTTTGAAGGTAGCTTTGATGATCCTTGGTACATGAGATTCCCATCCCATAAGTGCATTTTGTGCTTTTCTGGACAGCATCAATGCAACTCCTTGTGTATGTGGGGCATTTTATTCTTCATGACCGGAGTATAACAGAAGTTCTCCTGAAGACAGTCGTTGTTGTCCAACCTGCGTCCCATGTGTTTCACTAATTCCAAGCACTTCCAGGTTGTATTTTCTCATTTCTGCAGCAATTTGGAAGACTCTTCCGGTCTCCCACATTGTCCGGACATTCCATGTACCTATAAAAATTGTCGCTCTGGTTGTAAGAAGGTGCATCGGCCTCATGACTTCCGAAGGAACTCGGCTTACATCATGAGACGTCATAATTATTCCTTCTACTCCCAGGGCAGAGTTTAAATGGTTTGAATGACTTTTTCTGGTTAGCGTTTTTTTAGCGAGTTGATTTTCTACGGGTTGGGGTCGCTAACCCCATGCCCAACCCTCCTCCTTTACCCGGGCTTGGGATCGGCAGTAACCCCCAGAGGAGCTACAGGCGGAGTTCATTGGGGATAATAGACGTAAGTAATTAAGTAAGTAAGTAAATCATGTCTATAGACATGATTTTTTCTTTTCTTTATTGAAGGGAACTACAAATAGTGTTGCTGTCTCAGTGCAACTCAAGGAATATTATACAACCTGTTTAAAGAATATATGTAATAACAATTGAAGTTTGATGTTTGTTTAAAGGGAAAAAAGCTAAACAAAATAAAGGTCTAAGGCTGATGCTAAGATTTTGTCAAATTATTCAATCATCTATATGAGCTGATTACATTAATTTAATCAAAATTTGAAAAATTCCCATATTGTGATTTAGAACAACATATATAAGCGAACAATATTGTTTTCAATTGGATCCTCATCAGGCTTTACTCTAATATACAGTAATATTTATATGTATATACGAAATTATTAAACCAACCAAGGCAGTTTGTGAGTCAATGATAACAGTGGAATAGATTACATAATTAAAAATAATAATAAGTGAAAAGTACAAATTGGTAGTGTAATGACAAGTGTACTAGTTGTGATAAGAATAATAAAAGACTTGAATCAATGTTACATAATAGGAAAATAGGTCAATGATTAGAAAAAATATAGACACTGAAATAACATTCATAAAAATTATAAGAAGTGTTCAGATAATTAGACCGTGAAGCGAATATTTGAAAAAAAAATTGGTAGGAGGGGTGAAGAAAAATAAACGAAGAAAGAGTATGGAAGATAAAATTGTTTATTAAGGCCAAGGGAGAGATAAGGGTGTTACAAATTTCTTATGAACACAAAAACTTGGGTTGTTGGATCGAATTCCTATAGCTCCTGCTATATGTAAGAGACGAGATCGAACTCCATAAGGAAAACTAGTAGGAATACGATAAATAACTTGAAACGACTGATTTCTGTCAACTTTATGACCGCTATCGATCAAGTGTGATAAAACTGAGCTCCGTATCGACTTGACCATACCTTTTCCCAACCACGAAGGGAGGTGTTCACTAACTCTTTGGTTCAGTTGTTTGGTAGTGCGCCCAATATAGCTTTCTCCACAGGAGCAGCTGAATTCATAGATATACATAGAAGTGGCATAACCAGGCAACTTATCATTTAGTTGGGGAATCGCCATAGATCGGGTCGAGTACGAAAGACAGAGGTCAGCTGCATTAAACGTTCTCTTTACTGCTCTAGTCAGTCTACCCCGTAATATATCATCAGCTAAATTGCCGTTGAATTGTAGTTTCAGGAAGGGAGGTTTCTTAGCAGCTGTTAATATCTTTATTTTCTTATTTGTTACATGCAAATGTTTCTTCAGGAAACCTTGTAGATAACCCCTTTTAATCGACATATTATGTATGACCTCTAACTCATTGTTAATTGAATCGACTGAGCATATCTTCCTAGCTCTATTTGCCAGACATTTAACTAAGTTTCTTTTATAGTGGAGAGGTACAAAGCTTAAGAAGTGTGTGTACTGGCTTGATGAAGAACGTTTCCTAAACATACTTCTACTGATAGAACCGTTCGCTTTTTTGATTAACAAAACGTCAAGGAAATCTGATTTATTATCTAGTTCCTCTTCACATGTGAATTTAGTTACTGGGTGTTTGTTGTTAAACAGTTCTATTAGTTCTACTTTTCCAATGTCCTGATTAACAATAATGAAAGTATAATCAACGTAACGACAATAGAAGTCAATCTTATTGATAACATCCCTGAGGGGTCCATTTTCTAGTTTCGCAAGAAAATAGTCAGCAAGGATAGGACCTAGAGGTGAACCCATCGCTATACCTTCGTTCCTTTTAATTATGTATTTACTATATGATCCTCAAATTTTACTAAGATGTTCTGTAATCTTGTGTCTACATATCCATTCGATTGTCTCCACCTGAGTTCTCGTTCACTACATTGTCACCTAATTATAGTATTAATACTCTGTTATGTTAGTGGGATGAAAACTGTTCAATTGAACAATATAAAACAGAAACCTAACTTGTTACACGACTAAACTTGTATTCTTTTCGTTCCGTTAATTGAAAATAACATTTAGGGTAATGGAAATACTAATATAGAAAGACGATTTGTTTAGGTAAAAAAACAAAATTTAAAAAATACTCACGATACATCTGTTTGTGAAAGTTTCTTATTTGTAGCTTTCATGAATTCATTTTTGGATATTTTCCCATCTTTATCTTCATCATATAGTTTAATAACTTCCTTTACAGAAAAAATGTGATGAAGTATAAAAAAAAAACTGGTTCACAAATGAAAAATTAATCAATGTAAACAAACATTATTAAAAGCTGACATTGATACAGTTGGATGCCGTCTCAGTGGTCTAGAAGTTAAGCGTTCGCGCGCCAGATCAATAGGTCCTGCGCTCGGATCTCACTACGGGGGATCGTGGATGTGCAATGCTAAGGAGTCCCATACTATGGCGAAACGGCCGTTCAGTGCTTTTACGTTTTCCATGGTGGTCTAGCTTCGACTGTCTCATGAATTCATTTAGTAGATAAAAGAAAGGTTAAAAAATCATGTAACAAATAATATCATACAACATCATTCGAAAGCTATTTGACTGGGCAGTAATTTCTATCTTCCTTTAATACTTTAACGATTTATCTAATAATTTCGATGCTGTCAAGATTAGGTGAAATTATATGTTGAAGCCTTAGAATCCAAGTTTGGTTGTTTATCGATTATTTTGGTTAAAATCTGACCTAGAAAGGTAGGAACTTCACAAAGGTTACTAAATAATTATTCCGACTAAGACGTTTTCTGATGGGAATTTCACCAATTGTATGTTGATTTTTAAATATTTCGAAAGGAAAAAAAACATGAGTTGATCAGTAGTCAGAGGCAAGTTGAGTCAATGTAAGCAACATAACTAGAACAACAGATATAGACAATCAACTGGCAGAGAAACAAAATGATCAAACCTTGTCACTGTACAGGTGATTTGTGGTAAGAAAAATCAATCTTGAATCCAGTGCCAGTGAGTTATTGAGATAAGGAGACTTTAGATGAATGTAGGTGGATGGAAGATAACAAAAAAGGGCGAACGAGTTTGTCGGTTGAAATGTTTACATATTGAAAATCAAGTTAATTATTGAGTAAGGAGAGGATATTCAATACTGGGTATATGTAAAATAGGCTTTATTCGTATTCACCTAGTGTTGCATAGTTTGTTTTGAGGCGACAGCCTATTTTATCTGATAGTAATCACCTACAAAGCCTTCTGGTTGATTGACAAATAGTTATCACGTTATTCAACCGTTAAAAAAGGACTTCATAACACTATAACAGAGACTGTATCAGGTCTCATCTTCACGGTGGTACAATACTCAGTAGCTACTGATCGTTTAATTTGGCAGGTCTCGTAGGTGTAATTTATTTGTAACCAGATAATCACACAGTGGTGAATTTTTCCGCTCTATATTTCTTCCCCTTAGGTATTAGTAAGGGATGCTGGATGTTAGAGATACAGTCTTATATGTATATTTGTGCATATATCAATCGACGGGATCTGGAAGTGTAATCCGAAATATGTCTAATTATTGGTATAAATGTAAAATAGTTGTTACGACACTTGAGGATCATCGGTTCAGTACCTGGTAAATTCGCTAAATGTGATTGCTAAGGAGTTCATACTAGATTGAAAAGGCCATACAGCGCTCCATAGCTTTCTACAGTTGTCTAGCCAAAGTAAATCTGAGATATAAGAAACTTTAAGTTTTAGTTATGTTTTTATAATGGTTTATAAATCGGTTTGTTTTCTCACACAGACCGCCAAGCCATAACCAAAGAGGTTTACACCCTTTTACAGTTAATAGAACAGGGTAAATCAAATATTTTAGTTTTGCTGCTAAACTAAATCAAACGTAACTGTGCTATTTCTCCGTCTTCTTATCTCTGTCAAGTGAACAGAAAAAAGGGACAGTTTATCGTCTCAAAGGGGTGTTAGATTATCAGATATTCGAAAATATTCCTGTTGATTTCAAAAAAGACCAACAAATAACTCTAAATACTTTCCCTTTTATATAAAAAAAACTTAACAATCGATTGTTTATAAAATAATTAAAAACGACTGAGTTATTCATGAAGAAGTAAACGTATACATGAATCAGTAAAATGGTCTACTGAAAAAATTAATCTAATCTTGAGTTCTATTAATATTAATTACTTATTCAAAGGGTTTTGTAGAGATTTTGAACAACATTGAATTCGATCTTCATCAATAATTAATTTTATAGTTGAATTCATGAGTAAATTGAAGCTAGACTACCATGGAAAACCTGGAAGTACTGGACTGCCGTTTCATCATATTGTGGGACTCCTGAGCAGTGCACATTAGCGATCCCTCTTCGCGAGATTTGAACTCAGGACCTATCAGTCTCGCGCACAGCTGTGTCCCACAACAGAACGAAATGGACGTCCAGTGCTTACAGGTTTTCTTTGGTAGTCTAGCTTCAATCGACTCATGAATTCAACTATAAAATTACTAAAATCTCCACAAAACATTTTCTGATAATTAATTTTAGCTGGAAGAAATACTGAAAACCAGAATGGAATGAACAGATGTTCTCATATAGTAGCGAATTTTTGAATAGGTATATTTTCAATAAAAACACCAGATAAAGAATCAGTTTTTTCTTTAGGAAGTTGTGGACATTACTTCTTACAAATAGTAACAAGTATAAGATCAGAACTGAGTACTCCTTACCATCAACTCTCATTTATCTACTATAAAGATTTGAGTTTCATCCGGATATTCTGAAAATTATTTTAGATTTCTAAAACGTTTACCGAACAGTTATTTGTGTAACAAAAGACTTTCACAAGACGATATCACAGTATCCTATCTCATCCCAATTTAATTCAACCATAACTTGTTTAATCTCCGAAAAGTGACCAGGTCGACTTATTTTAGAACCTATGTGACTTTAACTGATGGTTCAGATATGTGGGAACTGTTGTGTATGTTAATTTTCGCTGAACTTAATATTATTAATAAGATGTTAGTGAAAGAAACTAGGTTATTGACTAAAAATTCTAGAATAAGCTAGCAATATACGAAACATTTAAAATGCAAAGCAGTTGAATTTTGCTAATCATCTTTAAATTTTATGAAATGTATAGTCTTGAAGATTAGCAGCTTCATCACAGAATTAAGTATTCGGCTTTCGTATGTTGTTATTGTTATAACTTTCTAACGTTAAATACATTACACTTTTTAGCACCGGATCGATGATGAACTATTACGCTTTATGGCATTTCAAGTGATTGTTGAGATTAGTAAAATCAATGACTTGGTCAAATCGATCATTAATTAAGGGAATTTATATTTAAATACCTCGACTTTATAGTTATCAGAAAACTGAATTACGGACTAACCGACTATATTGGGAAATTAAAACTGTCATTTACATTCAAAAATACCCATTCAATATGCTATGACAATTTAGATGAAGAACAATCAATAAAAAGTGAAAATTAAGGCCATAAATGAATTGAAGATTACTGAGTTTAATTAGATATATAAGCAAAATGTAGCATTAGTAAAGGTAGTATACCAGCTTTTTCTTTGTATATGGGTTTTCAGTTCGATAAACGGTCATAAGGAAACCTGATTGAAAGAATGCAATCATCGACAAGGGCTAGAAAACATGTTTTTGGTTACTGATAGGTATTGAAATAATGTATATTCCTTTCAACCCTTCAAAAGGTCAGCTGCTACGTGAATGGTTTAGTGGTAATTTTTCTGACTATAATAGTAGTTGATACACGCTTAAATCCATACAAGAAGTAACGTTTCTCTAATGGTTACACAAAACGTTAACCAACGAATTTCAGTTTGTACAAGACCTAGGTCTATACCTATCTGCCATTTATCTCTGACTGTCGAAGATCTAATACTGTGTACCACAAATTTAAACCGCTTACACTCAATAGCAAACTTGAGTAGTAGAATTTCATTGGCATAGTGGGTGGACAATGTATCATTGATTACTAGTCAGTGATCATTTGGTGATTTACACTGATGCTTTATACTGTGGAAAAAGCTTGCTATTTATCACCTAAAGCAATTGATACACTTTTTGAACAGCTTATTATAATTATGGAATGGTCCTTTAAATTTCAAATAGCAGTAGTGAAATCAACAATGTGTGATTTTTACTATGTTGAACTCGTTAGTTGAATATAACTATCTTCATAATTTTGATGTTTACACTGAAACTTAAATCCTCTAACTTTCAATTCGAATGTCAACTCGTTGTTCACTGGGTTATTGATTTCAGATAATTACCAACTTGGAAGCACTGAAAAGCCATTTCGTTCTATTGTAGTACTCCTCAGCAGTGCACATGCACGATTCCTAGCTTCAATTGACTCATAATCTCAACTATATAAAATATTACTGGAATCACCATAAAACTCCTTTCTGATAATTGCCAACTTGTTAAACGAGTACGAAATCTGTTGAAAGAGCTTTCCATTCTCACATTGTTTATCAAATGATAATTCCGAAGAAATAATCTTCATAAAAAATTTATAGACATTGAAATCTATCACATTGAAGAAGTGCGCATATAAACTTTCTTACAAAGTACTATTCTTTCTTTTACACACATCACACTGTTATATACTAGGAAAAAGTAAGTACTGATAACTTACGGGACCTCTTATTAGACTATTAATCTATTTATATTCCTATGGTATAACTATTCAGTAACTGGATTATCTATATCTATATTCATCTTATTACTAGCTTCATTTTGACCTATTGATTATTACTATATGATTTACTGTCCCTATGTTATACTCAGTTTTATTGATTATTGTCTCCCACGCTTACAGCTTCATTTGGCCTGGTTTTGTACAAATATTATTTTCTATTTTATGGTGTGGTGTGGTCTGCCTGTCTGGTATATAGATAAAGTATGCTTGAAATAAACGATTCGCATTACAGCAGCTGCTATTGGTGTTCTGGACTCAAGTGGACGGGTAGGCGGATAAGGACCAATAAGGGCGCTAGATTACTTATATTAATCGAACGTCATTGTCACAGTGTGAAGGTCGTAGAAGGCGTATTCTATTGGTGGATCATTTACGAGAATTACGTCCTTGTTAAATTCGTAAGGTCACAACGAATCAGCGACGACCTTGATCAAGTCATAACAATTGGCTACAGTCTAGGACAAATCATAACAAATTGGCGACGGGGATTTCGGTAAAAAAAAAATACAATAATTGGGACGTGATTCTAAAAAAATACAGCAGTCGGTGACGTCATTTTGGAATTAAATAATCCATAATATTTGCCGGTGTTTTTTTGGATTTATTATTATTATTCTCATTTTAAAAAAATAAAAAAAATGTCAATTTCTCCAGAACAGCTACAGTTAATATTGCAGCAGCAGCAACAGATGTTAGCTTGTCAACAACAACTCCTGGAAGCACTTTTGGGGAAAATGTCTATTCAGCAAGATATTCCAGAACATAAAAGCATAGAGTCATATCTTAATCCAATTCCAGAACTTATTTTCGATGCAGACAGCGGTCACACTTTTGAAGCATGGTTTGGCAGAATTGAAGATATTTTTCGAGTAGAATTTGCTGCTATGGAGGACACAAAGAAAGTCCGGTTGCTCTTACAGAAACTTGGTCCTAACGAGCATCAGAAGTATAAAAACCATATCCTGCCCAAACATCCACGAGAGATTAGTTTCGATGAAACTGTTAACATTTTAAATAAAATGTTTTCTGAACAGATGTCTCTATTTCCTATCCGGTATAATTGTCTACAACTGACTAGAGAAGCTGATGAGGATTATACTACGTATGCCGGAAGAGTAAATTTACAAGCGGAACGATTTAAATTAAATGTGTTAACCAGTGATCAATTTAAATGCTTATTATTTATTTCTGGTCTGAATTCTCCCAGTGATGCTGATGTTCGCATGAAGTTATTATCTCGTATGGAACATGACGAAGAAATGACTCTACAAACTGTTACTGGTGAGTGTCAACGATTAATAAACTTGAAACAGGATTCGGCTATGTTAGAAACCAAAAGTGCTGCACCATCTAATCATTCGGTCCATGCTATTAAGACGAGTCAACGACAACAGAGTGTCAAAAGTTATAAATATCACACAAAAATTCCTAAACCTTCAACGAAATGTTGGTATTGCGGCGCGTGGCATTTTTCAAGATTTTGCAGATTTAGAAATCATAGATGCACGGTGTGCAATAAACTTGGTCATAAAGAATCAGTTTGCCGGACAAGAGAAAATTTGAGATCAAAGCCTACGAAGCGTCCTCACCAGTTTCAAAACAAATATATTAACAGTATATATTCTACACGAGCTTTAAGTATGGCAGATAAAAGAAGGTATGTGGAATTATTGGTTAATGGTGTTCATGTCCGATTACAATTGGATACAGCGTCAGATATCACATTGATCTCTAAACGAACATGGAATTTAATTGGTTGTCCACAAGTATTACCTACTGAGCATACTGCACGAAATGCATCCGGAGATATATTAAAGCTTGTTGGAATTATAAAATGCTCTGTTGAATTTCGAGATAACTACTTCACAGGGAATTGTTATTTAACGAACAGACATGACTTAGACCTTATTGGAATAGATTGGATAGATAAACTAAACCTATGGGATGTACCATTGAGTGAAATATGCATGATGAAGTGCACAAATAGTCCCAGAGATCTACCCATGGTTCATGTAGCTAAGAAAGCCATAACGATAGAAGACCTCTTACAGAAACACAAGAAGTTGTTCCAGAATAAATTGGGATGCTGTACCATTGGAAAGGCAAAGTTATATTTACGACAGGATGTAAAACCTGTTTTTTGTCCAAAACGCCAAGTCCCGTATGCAGCCACCGATAAAGTTGACAAGGAGTTAGATCGATTAGAGAAACTGGGTGTAATACAACCGGTTAATTATTCAGCATGGGCAGCACCAATAGTAGTAGTGCAGAAAGCAAACGGAACTATTCGCTTGTGTGCAGACTTTTCAACAGGATTAAACGATGCTTTACAAAATCACTCATATCCACTTCCCTTGCCAGAAGATTTATTTATTAAACTAAACGGTGGACGTTACTTTTCCAAACTCGATCTATCTGAAGCTTACTTACAAGTAGAAGTTGACGAAGATTCGAGGGAGTTATTAACCATTAATACCCACCGTGGACTTTACCAGTTTAGCCGATTACCTTTTGGCGTAAAACCAGCTCCAGCAATTTTCCAACAGATTATGGATACCATGTTGTCTAACCTTGAAGGTGTGGCAGTTTATTTGGACGATATTATAGTTGTTGCCTCTTCTGCTCACGAACTGATGAGTCGGTTAGACGTAGTGCTCAATAGAATATCGCAAGCCGGGTTTCAATTACAAAACGAAAAGTGTCAATTTATGCTAGATTCTGTTAAATATCTTGGATATATATTTGATAAAGATGGTCGCCGGCCAGATCCAGATAATATAAATGCCATCAAAAATATGCCCACACCAACTGATGTTACAACTCTCCGTTCATTCTTGGGGATGATTGGATATTATAGTATGTTCGTACCCCAGATGTATAAATTGAGACACCCGTTAAATCAACTTTTGATGGCTAATGCAAAATGGTACTGGACAAAAGAATGCCAATATTCTTTCGACGAAATAAAAAGGATTTTATCTTCTAAATTATTGTTGACTCATTACAATCCTAAGCTTGAAATAATTGTTGCCGCTGATGCTTCCAACTATGGAATTGGGGCTGTTATCAGTCATCGTTTTCCTGATGGTAAAGAAAAGCCGATTGCTCATGTATCCCGAACACTTAACCCAGCTGAACGAAAATATAGTCAAATTGAAAAAGAAGGATTAGCTATAGTTTTTGCAGTAAAGAAATTTCATAAAATGATTTATGGACGTCGATTTACTCTTCTAACAGATCACAAGCCGCTTTTATCTATATTTGGATCGAAGTCAGGTATTCCTGCATATACAGCTAATCGATTACAACGCTGGGCTATTACACTACTTGCTTATGATTTCCGAATTCTATATAAATCAACTGAAAAGTTTGGACAAGCTGATGTTTTATCTCGATTAATTGCGAATCAGAAGCAGGAAAGCAAAGATTCTATTATTGCAACGATATCATTGGAAGAAGATATCCACCAAATGCTACAAGTTGCTATAAAAGCAACACCATTATCCGCTGAAGATATTAGACGCTACACTCAAGAAGATGGCGAGCTGAAACGGATTATAAGTTACCTTGAACATGGTTGGCCTTCTCATATAGACAACAAAAATATTGAACAGTATGCTCACCGACGAAATTCTTTATCGCTCGTGGACGGGTGCCTAATGTTTGGAAATCGAGTTATTGTACCCACAAGCCTACGCCGGAAGGTGATGTTAGAACTGCACGCTGCACACCCAGGGGTAGCGCGGATGAAAGCACTTGCACGCGGTTATGTATATTGGCCGAATATTGATGCGCAGATTGAAGAATATGTTGCAAAATGTTCAGCATGTGCAAAAGCCATGAAAGCCCCTCGCAAGACCGAAATGCAGAGTTGGGGAACACCATCAAATCCGTGGTCAAGAGTTCATGTAGATTTTGCTGGTCCTATACACGGTAAACAGTTCTTGATAATCATTGATGCTTTCTCTAAGTGGCCAGAAGTCCACTATATGAAATATGTCTCAACACAAGCTACAGTGAAGAAACTGAGGCAAGTATTCAGTTGTTTTGGGTGTCCAGATATATTGGTGTCAGACAATGGACCACAGTTTACCTCTGCTGAATTTTCGAGGTTCTGCATTGCCAATGCCATTAGGCATATCAAGACACCCCCATACCATCCACAGTCTAACGGCTTAGTCGAAAGGTTCGTGGACACTTTTAAAAGAGCATTGCTTAAAGCCGAAGGGGAAGGAGAAATAGAAGATATAATTCAACGATTTTTACTAAGCTACCGCGCAACTCCCAACCCAGCAACAAATAATCAGGAAAGCCCGGCAGAAGTAATTTTTGGAAGAAAGATTAGAATACCTATGGAACAAATGAAGCCAAAACCTGAAGTCATTCAATGCAAGAATAAACGAATGGAACTGCAATTTAACAAAAGGCATGGTGCCTTACCCAGAAGGTTTAATGTGGGACAAGCAGTAATGGCAAGAGATTTCCAGGGAGTAAAGCCAACCTGGAAATTTGGCATCATAGTCCGAAGAAAAGGGAAAGTTATTTATGAAGTGAAAGTTGGACAAAAGATATGGGTACGACATGCAAACCAGATACAGCCGACCAGACAGGAGTGGGAGATAGAAAGTGATAGAAAGCATGATATACCATTAAATATATTAACCGAGTCGGATAATGAAATTAAAAAGGACCCGAATAAAAAGAAGACGTGTACAACACTCCCAAGGCGGTCGCAGCGCATCAGGCGGAAACCTAATCGCATAAAAATAAATCCCAAGGATCGCTATTATCCATGATGCTTCAAAAAAGGGGAGGTGTTATATACTAGGAAAAAGTAAGTACTGATAACTTACGGGACCTCTTATTAGACTATTAATCTATTTATATTCCTATGGTATAACTATTCAGTAACTGGATTATCTATATCTATATTCATCTTATTACTAGCTTCATTTTGACCTATTGATTATTACTATATGATTTACTGTCCCTATGTTATACTCAGTTTTATTGATTATTGTCTCCCACGCTTACAGCTTCATTTGGCCTGGTTTTGTACAAATATTATTTTCTATTTTATGGTGTGGTGTGGTCTGCCTGTCTGGTATATAGATAAAGTATGCTTGAAATAAACGATTCGCATTACAGCAGCTGCTATTGGTGTTCTGGACTCAAGTGGACGGGTAGGCGGATAAGGACCAATAAGGGCGCTAGATTACTTATATTAATCGAACGTCATTGTCACAGTGTGAAGGTCGTAGAAGGCGTATTCTATTGGTGGATCATTTACGAGAATTACGTCCTTGTTAAATTCGTAAGGTCACAACGAATCAGCGACGACCTTGATCAAGTCATAACAATTGGCTACAGTCTAGGACAAATCATAACAAATTGGCGACGGGGATTTCGGTAAAAAAAAAATACAATAATTGGGACGTGATTCTAAAAAAATACAGCAGTCGGTGACGTCATTTTGGAATTAAATAATCCATAATATTTGCCGGTGTTTTTTTGGATTTATTATTATTATTCTCATTTTAAAAAAATAAAAAAAATGTCAATTTCTCCAGAACAGCTACAGTTAATATTGCAGCAGCAGCAACAGATGTTAGCTTGTCAACAACAACTCCTGGAAGCACTTTTGGGGAAAATGTCTATTCAGCAAGATATTCCAGAACATAAAAGCATAGAGTCATATCTTAATCCAATTCCAGAACTTATTTTCGATGCAGACAGCGGTCACACTTTTGAAGCATGGTTTGGCAGAATTGAAGATATTTTTCGAGTAGAATTTGCTGCTATGGAGGACACAAAGAAAGTCCGGTTGCTCTTACAGAAACTTGGTCCTAACGAGCATCAGAAGTATAAAAACCATATCCTGCCCAAACATCCACGAGAGATTAGTTTCGATGAAACTGTTAACATTTTAAATAAAATGTTTTCTGAACAGATGTCTCTATTTCCTATCCGGTATAATTGTCTACAACTGACTAGAGAAGCTGATGAGGATTATACTACGTATGCCGGAAGAGTAAATTTACAAGCGGAACGATTTAAATTAAATGTGTTAACCAGTGATCAATTTAAATGCTTATTATTTATTTCTGGTCTGAATTCTCCCAGTGATGCTGATGTTCGCATGAAGTTATTATCTCGTATGGAACATGACGAAGAAATGACTCTACAAACTGTTACTGGTGAGTGTCAACGATTAATAAACTTGAAACAGGATTCGGCTATGTTAGAAACCAAAAGTGCTGCACCATCTAATCATTCGGTCCATGCTATTAAGACGAGTCAACGACAACAGAGTGTCAAAAGTTATAAATATCACACAAAAATTCCTAAACCTTCAACGAAATGTTGGTATTGCGGCGCGTGGCATTTTTCAAGATTTTGCAGATTTAGAAATCATAGATGCACGGTGTGCAATAAACTTGGTCATAAAGAATCAGTTTGCCGGACAAGAGAAAATTTGAGATCAAAGCCTACGAAGCGTCCTCACCAGTTTCAAAACAAATATATTAACAGTATATATTCTACACGAGCTTTAAGTATGGCAGATAAAAGAAGGTATGTGGAATTATTGGTTAATGGTGTTCATGTCCGATTACAATTGGATACAGCGTCAGATATCACATTGATCTCTAAACGAACATGGAATTTAATTGGTTGTCCACAAGTATTACCTACTGAGCATACTGCACGAAATGCATCCGGAGATATATTAAAGCTTGTTGGAATTATAAAATGCTCTGTTGAATTTCGAGATAACTACTTCACAGGGAATTGTTATTTAACGAACAGACATGACTTAGACCTTATTGGAATAGATTGGATAGATAAACTAAACCTATGGGATGTACCATTGAGTGAAATATGCATGATGAAGTGCACAAATAGTCCCAGAGATCTACCCATGGTTCATGTAGCTAAGAAAGCCATAACGATAGAAGACCTCTTACAGAAACACAAGAAGTTGTTCCAGAATAAATTGGGATGCTGTACCATTGGAAAGGCAAAGTTATATTTACGACAGGATGTAAAACCTGTTTTTTGTCCAAAACGCCAAGTCCCGTATGCAGCCACCGATAAAGTTGACAAGGAGTTAGATCGATTAGAGAAACTGGGTGTAATACAACCGGTTAATTATTCAGCATGGGCAGCACCAATAGTAGTAGTGCAGAAAGCAAACGGAACTATTCGCTTGTGTGCAGACTTTTCAACAGGATTAAACGATGCTTTACAAAATCACTCATATCCACTTCCCTTGCCAGAAGATTTATTTATTAAACTAAACGGTGGACGTTACTTTTCCAAACTCGATCTATCTGAAGCTTACTTACAAGTAGAAGTTGACGAAGATTCGAGGGAGTTATTAACCATTAATACCCACCGTGGACTTTACCAGTTTAGCCGATTACCTTTTGGCGTAAAACCAGCTCCAGCAATTTTCCAACAGATTATGGATACCATGTTGTCTAACCTTGAAGGTGTGGCAGTTTATTTGGACGATATTATAGTTGTTGCCTCTTCTGCTCACGAACTGATGAGTCGGTTAGACGTAGTGCTCAATAGAATATCGCAAGCCGGGTTTCAATTACAAAACGAAAAGTGTCAATTTATGCTAGATTCTGTTAAATATCTTGGATATATATTTGATAAAGATGGTCGCCGGCCAGATCCAGATAATATAAATGCCATCAAAAATATGCCCACACCAACTGATGTTACAACTCTCCGTTCATTCTTGGGGATGATTGGATATTATAGTATGTTCGTACCCCAGATGTATAAATTGAGACACCCGTTAAATCAACTTTTGATGGCTAATGCAAAATGGTACTGGACAAAAGAATGCCAATATTCTTTCGACGAAATAAAAAGGATTTTATCTTCTAAATTATTGTTGACTCATTACAATCCTAAGCTTGAAATAATTGTTGCCGCTGATGCTTCCAACTATGGAATTGGGGCTGTTATCAGTCATCGTTTTCCTGATGGTAAAGAAAAGCCGATTGCTCATGTATCCCGAACACTTAACCCAGCTGAACGAAAATATAGTCAAATTGAAAAAGAAGGATTAGCTATAGTTTTTGCAGTAAAGAAATTTCATAAAATGATTTATGGACGTCGATTTACTCTTCTAACAGATCACAAGCCGCTTTTATCTATATTTGGATCGAAGTCAGGTATTCCTGCATATACAGCTAATCGATTACAACGCTGGGCTATTACACTACTTGCTTATGATTTCCGAATTCTATATAAATCAACTGAAAAGTTTGGACAAGCTGATGTTTTATCTCGATTAATTGCGAATCAGAAGCAGGAAAGCAAAGATTCTATTATTGCAACGATATCATTGGAAGAAGATATCCACCAAATGCTACAAGTTGCTATAAAAGCAACACCATTATCCGCTGAAGATATTAGACGCTACACTCAAGAAGATGGCGAGCTGAAACGGATTATAAGTTACCTTGAACATGGTTGGCCTTCTCATATAGACAACAAAAATATTGAACAGTATGCTCACCGACGAAATTCTTTATCGCTCGTGGACGGGTGCCTAATGTTTGGAAATCGAGTTATTGTACCCACAAGCCTACGCCGGAAGGTGATGTTAGAACTGCACGCTGCACACCCAGGGGTAGCGCGGATGAAAGCACTTGCACGCGGTTATGTATATTGGCCGAATATTGATGCGCAGATTGAAGAATATGTTGCAAAATGTTCAGCATGTGCAAAAGCCATGAAAGCCCCTCGCAAGACCGAAATGCAGAGTTGGGGAACACCATCAAATCCGTGGTCAAGAGTTCATGTAGATTTTGCTGGTCCTATACACGGTAAACAGTTCTTGATAATCATTGATGCTTTCTCTAAGTGGCCAGAAGTCCACTATATGAAATATGTCTCAACACAAGCTACAGTGAAGAAACTGAGGCAAGTATTCAGTTGTTTTGGGTGTCCAGATATATTGGTGTCAGACAATGGACCACAGTTTACCTCTGCTGAATTTTCGAGGTTCTGCATTGCCAATGCCATTAGGCATATCAAGACACCCCCATACCATCCACAGTCTAACGGCTTAGTCGAAAGGTTCGTGGACACTTTTAAAAGAGCATTGCTTAAAGCCGAAGGGGAAGGAGAAATAGAAGATATAATTCAACGATTTTTACTAAGCTACCGCGCAACTCCCAACCCAGCAACAAATAATCAGAAAAGCCCGGCAGAAGTAATTTTTGGAAGAAAGATTAGAATACCTATGGAACAAATGAAGCCAAAACCTGAAGTCATTCAATGCAAGAATAAACGAATGGAACTGCAATTTAACAAAAGGCATGGTGCCTTACCCAGAAGGTTTAATGTGGGACAAGCAGTAATGGCAAGAGATTTCCAGGGAGTAAAGCCAACCTGGAAATTTGGCATCATAGTCCGAAGAAAAGGGAAAGTTATTTATGAAGTGAAAGTTGGACAAAAGATATGGGTACGACATGCAAACCAGATACAGCCGACCAGACAGGAGTGGGAGATAGAAAGTGATAGAAAGCATGATATACCATTAAATATATTAACCGAGTCGGATAATGAAATTAAAAAGGACCCGAATAAAAAGAAGACGTGTACAACACTCCCAAGGCGGTCGCAGCGCATCAGGCGGAAACCTAATCGCATAAAAATAAATCCCAAGGATCGCTATTATCCATGATGCTTCAAAAAAGGGGAGGTGTTATATACTAGGAAAAAGTAAGTACTGATAACTTACGGGACCTCTTATTAGACTATTAATCTATTTATATTCCTATGGTATAACTATTCAGTAACTGGATTATCTATATCTATATTCATCTTATTACTAGCTTCATTTTGACCTATTGATTATTACTATATGATTTACTGTCCCTATGTTATACTCAGTTTTATTGATTATTGTCTCCCACGCTTACAGCTTCATTTGGCCTGGTTTTGTACAAATATTATTTTCTATTTTATGGTGTGGTGTGGTCTGCCTGTCTGGTATATAGATAAAGTATGCTTGAAATAAACGATTCGCATTACAGCAGCTGCTATTGGTGTTCTGGACTCAAGTGGACGGGTAGGCGGATAAGGACCAATAAGGGCGCTAGATTACTTATATTAATCGAACGTCATTGTCACAGTGTGAAGGTCGTAGAAGGCGTATTCTATTGGTGGATCATTTACGAGAATTACGTCCTTGTTAAATTCGTAAGGTCACAACGAATCAGCGACGACCTTGATCAAGTCATAACAATTGGCTACAGTTTAGGACAATTCATAACACACACTAAAGTCTTTTTACCATTTTATGGAGAGAAAAATAAATTAAAAACAAGAAAAGAATAATGATTTTGCTTCTATACTGATCAGATAAATATGAATTAAGATTTCAACTAAATGGAATGTTACTTTGTTTTTTTTTTTCTGAAACAATTATATACTACTTTCTAATTGTCACGTTTATTTATCTTCTTTTCACATGATTTATATATATATATATATATATATACAAATTGTCAACAGAATAAAACAACCTTTCAATATAAATAATAAATTATTGAATGAAAAGAAAAAAAAGAACTAGAAAGATTAATTGATGATTAAAATGAGATTTTCTTTTCATTATAAATTAACAGTAATAAGGTTGTGAAGATTGTTAAGATTATGAATCGATTGATATTAGAGTATCATTGAAAACCTAGAAGTACTGGATGGTACTTTTGTTGTAGTAGAATTTATGATTTCAATCAAACATTCAACAATCTCCACAACCCCTTATTGATAATGATCATGTTCTCGCTAGTGACTAGCTTCGTGAGGGTATTCTCGGAGTTCTAGTGAGAAGTTGTGACCAGTGGAGATGATCTACTTCAGGTAGAGACATGTATCAACCTCAAACAATGGAAGATGGTGGCACAACTTCGTAGATTAGTTAAAGTTAGACATTAACACTGTTGGATGTCCGCTTAGTGGTCTATAGGTTAGGTGTCACACGCGAGACCTAAGGTCCTGAGTTTGAATCCCGTATATGAAATCGGAGATATGCACTGCTCGCAAGTCCCATACTAGGACGAAACAGTCATCCAATGTTTCCAGGTTTTCAAAGGTGGTCCAACATAAATCGGTTGATGACCTCAATCAGGAAAATATGAATTAGGTTGAACTATTTATGATACAAGATGTACAACTAGAGTGTAATTTTAAACAAAACTTATTTTTTAATTTTGTGTATTATATTGGGCTTGCTAACAGTCATTTTTAATATTGGAAATGTTATAATTAGGTAAATATTATAATATATATATATGAATCATAATTACCAATTTAAGTCGTTAGACATCATCACCTTTGATGAATGAAAATAGTGTCGGTAGTCCATAGAAATAATATGAACTTCATAATGAACACAAAACCCTTTCTGATCTATAATCATGTGCTCACTAGTGACTGACTTCAAGGGATGTTTCCTTGAGTTCTAGTGGGAAGCAGTGGCCAGTGGAGTTCTACCAGGTCTGTTGTAGAGATATCACATCACTGAAGACAATTGGTGAACGGTCGCTCAAAATCGTGGATTGGTTGAAGTTAGACGTTAACACCATTGGATGCCGGCTCAGTGGTCTATCGGTTAAGGGCTTCGGTTCGAGACTGGTAGGTCCTGGGTTCGAATCTCGCGAGTGTAGGATCGTGGATGCTCACTGCTGAGGAGTCCCATGATAGGACGAAACTTCCATCCGGTGCTTCCATGTTTTCCATGGTGATTTAGCTTCAATGGACTGATGATTTCAACTATGAAAATACTGAAATCTCCACAAAACCCATTCTGATCTATAATACTTTTAAGTCAGAAAACGAAAACTATAATTTATGACAAAATAAGTCTAGATTCAAGATAATTTTTTCAACATCCACTATCCCTTTAATATTATATCACTTCTAGTCTCATTTATATGTATTCTGGTTAAAGCTTGTAATTTACACAGATCGATTCGATATCAGTTCTTATTGAGGTATTTGTGAAAGTTCGGTATTGTTTGAACGTAAATCAATAATCAAAAAGAATTAATATGCAATATGTGGTTTGTATTCATCTCAGAGTGATCTCACTTAAAGTGACAGTTAGAATCAGGGAGCTGTGAATGGTTGTTTCATTTCAGTATGGAATCACTCGGTAGTGTGCATCCCTCATGGCCCATAAAGGTCTGACAAATTATTGACATCAATGGAGAGTGCCTACTATAGACCTTATAATTAGTAATTTGAATGATAATCGACGGTTAAAAGTAATGTAACGTGATTTTAGAAAATGGAACTATGATAAAGGAAGGAAACTGAATGTACATTGGACTAGTAGATTTTTTCTCTAACTGTAGTAGGTTTTCCGGATATGTAATGAAAGTCTCCAGAAGGAGAATTTCAAGAATAACAGAAATCGAAAGGTATTCCTGTGGTCATAAATTGTGTTAATTCAGGGAACATAGGAATTATGAAGAAGTGAAAAAAACAGATTTTCTAAAAACTTACTTCAGCTTTACGTTTATCAAAACCGAAACGTTCCAAACAGCCAATAATTTCAGCCCTACTTAGAAATCCATCAGAATTTTTATCAACACTGTCGAATTCTCGTTCAAGTACATACATTACAGCCATCCTGTTAAAAAAAGGTAATTATTCAAGAAGAAACATCAACATGACACTCACAATGCGGTAGTGTTTTAGATCGTTTTAAAAATTGGTAAACTGTTTAATCATTGGAAAGTCTATTTCAATAGTTCCTACCGTTTTTTTCCTATACAGAGGTATTCTACACGGTATATTACTTAGATTTCTTAATTATTGTCACTTTTTAGCATAACACTATTCATTCAACCATACTTAGTCGAAAAACAAAAAAAATCTACAATGAAATAACTTTTTGTTAGTGCTTCTTAATTGTTTAATTAGTTCTCTAAAATATTTTAATCCAACTATAAAGCTTAACTATATAAATTAGTTCCTAGTTTACTAGATAATTTTTTAAAAAAGGAATCATCAAAAGTTTTCCGAATAACAAAAACCTATGCCCCCAAACATTTACAATGTTGTAAGAGGTGTGATGGCGGATATCATATTACGGTTGCCGACACCATAGATGGATATTTATTATTGAGGCACCTGATATGGAAATTGAGTTTGCGAAAGGTCTTGAAGACTTGGGAACGTAACCCAAGCGAGATTAGGATTTCTTTCTTGGTTATATATACAATTTAATGATTCATACCAAAAATAGAACACAAACATTGTTTTAGGAATCATGAAATAAACTGAGGATTTACGATATCGAATCGGAATTTCTTCTCTCAAAAGCGAAGATCTTTTGGATTAGACTCCTGTAATATTAACCACATGATTGATGATTAGACTTAAAAAACATCAAAAAACGTTTGGAATTGATTTAAACAAGATCTTTATGTTAATTATTCCTTAGTACATGGGGGGTTATTTATCCCATGACTTTCTATATTTTAAAGGTATTATGTTCCATACAAATGTTGAAGCTATTTAGCTCAACTTTGTTAAACAGACTCAGATATTGATTAATAACGAGTCCCATAGTGTAATAAATATATTGTCACTATAATTGAAATGTAAAACAACAACTTCATGAGATCGGACATTGAGATTATCTACATTTTTTTCCCACCTTTTAGGGCTCGATCAAAAATTATTTTCAACCAAATCAAGTTTTTAATTTACTTAGTATTGTTTGTTTGAATCTTCCCATCGATGTGTTAGGACTGCAACTGGTCAGTCTCTAATTGACATATGTGCATACTGTGCGTATTGCCTCGATATAACCTTAATTGACAAGTGTTGTAAGCAAAGATGGATAGTGGCTATCAGTGGAATCCAGTGTGACACGCGTTTCGTCCTATTTGGGACTCTTCGGCTGGATGTACCTGCATCTCAGAGTTGATGTTCACTCTGGGACTCGAACCTAGTACCTTTCGCTTCAAACGCCATCGCGTTATCTACTCAGCTACTAATTCCTGATAGCCACTTGCTTGTGCGGTGGGGTGAAGTATAAATTCACTTAGTATTGTTTGTTTGTTCGAGTCCCAGAGTGAACATCAACTCAGAGATGCAGGTACATCCAGCTGACGAGTCTCAAGTAGGACGAAACGCGCATACTGGATTCCACTGCTAGCCACTATCCATCTTTGCAAATCAAGTTTTTTTAACTTGTCGAAATTAATAACACATTGAACAATTAGGAATACTGACAACAATTTACTTAGAACAAAGATCAAATCAAGATTACATAATCCATTGTAACCATTTCATATTTTAACTGTGATTAAATGTAATGTTACTGAAAGTATGATATTAATAACTAACTCATTTAAACTAGAAATATTAACTGTTCGTATTCTACGTTTATTTCAACACTTTTCATCGACTACTTATTTTTTTTTAATAGACATTTTAATATTTGATCAAAATGTTTAATGATCAAATTAAATTTTATCATCAATGAATAGTAGATACGTTTTAGAATCTATGTAAAAAAATATAATGAATTATTAAAATCAAACATTTCTAAGTGATGTACATTGATAAAAGGTGATAACTACTACTGTGATATGTGCTACTGATGTCTACAGATATAAGTAGTATTTATAACCGATCAAAAGTAAAATGTCTAGTGGCAGAAGGTTAAGTAGATTGAAGAGAAGAGAATGAGATCAGGCAATGATTGATGTAGATACGAAGGAACAATCAAATTTGAGACAATTGATTGACATTTTGAAAATGAAGTATTTCCTATATGGTTCTTAGAATTTACTAAGAAATTCTGTAATTTTACATTTAAGTATATTTGGTTGTCCACGTCTGTGTTCTTGTTCACTACAGTACCAAGGCTGATTATTATTGACTTTTTAGTGGACTAAGTGTATTTAAACAATATCCATGTACAAGGGAGAATTTTTAATACAATAAATTATCCTTTATTAGTTTACTAGAATTATATCATTATCCAATTTATAAAAAACCAAAAAATTAACAACTAAAATCTTTAGTTAACTCACTTAGTAATGTGGTGGTATGAGTACAATAGGTTGTAATGAAATCGAATGAATAAATTCTAGATAAATTAATCAGCTTATAAACTGTTTATATTCACACTTTGGAATAGATGTATTTTATTGTGGTTACACACACCTAAGAATATGTATCCATGGTATTAAAACCAGAAAAAAAAATGATTACAATGTTTAATACAAAAATATTTGTTCCATTATTTGAAATTTAATCAATAAATATTGAAGTAAAGATAGTGATTGTTGTGTATACAAAGAAAAAATGAAATGAATGCCAGCAAATGATTGATTTTATTAAAATTTATGATTATATATGTGCATGTATATATGTATAGATATCAATGAGGAATGTAACTATAGAAAAGTAAAGCAAATTATTTATATCGGTAAGAGGTTGTGAAGATTTATGAGCTTAGGTTAATATCATGAACGAATCAATGTTAGACTGCTATTGAATGTTTGGAAGCACTAGACGGTCATTTTGTCCTCGTATAGGATTGGCGATCAGGGCTCATCCATGATCCTAAACATGAGACTAGAACTTACGACCTTCGGTCTCGCACGCGAACACTCAACCTGTAGTCCACGGTGTAGATCCAACGGTGTTAATGTCTAAATTCAACCAATCTACATTATTGCCTTCAGAGAGTAACTGCTTCACATTCGAATCCAGCGTGCAGGATTTTGGATGAGCACTTCTGAGGAGTTCCATACTATGACAAAATGTCCGTCCAGTGCTTCCAGGTTTTCATTAGTAGTCTAACATTGATTTATTCATGATATCAATCTAGAATTATTTTTATTCATTTTCAATAAATGAAAAAAGTGTTTTTCATTTTAATCTTTTACATAAGTTATCTAGTATCTTAATCATCACAAGATTTTATGAAGTACGCTATTAAGAATTCCAAACTAACAGTAACAATAGAACTATTCCATACAGTTTGATCTAATGAAAGTCTTTCAAGTGATGTCAGTTTTTGATATACATTTTCTTAGATCTATGTAAAGAAAACTATTGAAACCATCTATAAATCCAGTTGAAAAATATTGAATATGTATCTTGTCATTTCAATATTTGCAAGCATCTCTCTTTATTACCGTTCTTACTTTTAAGCATACTTATTTATATATAACTGATGTCTGAGGACAAAAGGGTGAAAGTAATGCCTCAAATTAGTAAATATTAACGGATTATATCTTTCTCCTTTTTTGAATACAATTGAAGGTATCTCATCAGACAGAATTATCAAAATTATACTTATATTTAGTTAACAACAACTTTATCAAAAAGCTTATTTATTTCTTAGGTAGAATTTTCAGTTTTCTGAATAAGTTAATTATTATGCCACATAAATCGTTGCTAAATAATCCTTATCAATTATATACAACCTTCAGAGTGAATCGAAGATAGTGTGGTGACTACAAATTGTACTTATTCAAACAAATGTTCAACGAATAGTTCAATCGTGTTAAGCTTTATTGATAAAATGAGTTCTATGTTGAATACAAGATGAGTATTCTCCTTGAAATAACCTTTAAATATGAATAAAATAGATAAACTTTATAAGCTAATAAATCTTCTGCCTTGGTTTAACTAAAGTGATTAATACACTGATTTACAGTCTAAAACAGATAGTTTGTACAATAGGAATGCTTAAAAAATTGTCCTTTTCAATAGTATTGATTGTTCCATAAACACACTTATAAATAATAACACACCAATAAATAATCTAATAATTCAGTGTAAATCATCATAGTTTAAGTTTCTTAATACGTTTGGTTAGTTTAAATATTTGGTTTTAAATTAGGTCCTGTCAGTCAATCATCTACAACGTAGAACCAGGCATATATATGCATAGGTCCAAGTTGCCACACCTCATTAGCATAACAAGATGAACACCAAATTCATAGAAGTAGTTACTTCAATGATAGTAACATATAAAAGAAATATTGTGTACAAGTATATAGTAAGGGAAGAAAGAATTATTTTTTAGAAAGAAAATTATAATTTATATCTTGCACTTTACGGGAAAAACGTGCATACACCTACGCTATTTTGATCGATTCTGAGCCATGTCAAACAGAATCTCCAACCACTGGTAACGATAATCACGCGATCCCCAACCAGGTAGTCTGCATCTATCAACATGGCTCGAGTTAGTAACTTCAAGCACTGATGCCACGTTTCGGTTTGTCCGCTCCTAACTCTCTTAAAACCATCTTCTATACTAGTCAGCATTGCGCGTCGTGGTAATCGGTGGTCGGGCATGAGTAATACGTGGGCCAACCATCTCAGTTAGTGAAGATTCACAACCTCATCAACTGATTTACCATCATCACTCTCTAATACCCTGAGTCTAACCTCACTATTACTTACCCGGTGATCCCAGCAGATGAGAACAATACTTCTAAGACATTTGTGGTCAAATACTAGTAACTTACGAGTATCTTCTACTCTTAATGGCCACGTTTCAAAGACGTAATGTAGAACAGAGCGAACTGCTGCTCAGTATACTCGTCCTTTAATTGATAGACGGATATCTTGCCTTCGCCATAGTTGACGTATGTTGACAAAAGCCAAGTGCGCTTTTTGAATCTGTGCAGAGATGTCGTCAGACACCGACCCATTAGGGTTGGTCAGACTTCCAAGATAAGTGAAGTTGTCGATACGTTTGACTACTTCACTATCTATCCTTATTTCATGTGTTTAGTCAGGCTAGTTCTGGAGCAACAATTTGCATTTGGAGTGGGAGAAACGCATCCCAAACATTCTGGTATTGTTAGTCAGTGCTACCAAAAGACTGCATTTTATCAATAGTAAACAGTAAAAGTGTGAGCTGGTGGTACCAACCGACTTTCTAAACTGGAACAGATACAGTGAGATTCGAATCTGAAGCCTATTAATTAAAATTTCATTAAGTTTATAATCCATTTATCATTGAAAAAAATGTTTTAATCTTAGAATTGTTAAATACATCAAGCTGATGCGGTCTAGAGTTCTAGTCATTATAATAAATGTTGGACAGATACTAATTAATTAGTTGGACTGGGGTAATACATGTAATAACTTAACTGATTATTACACTTATATACTTGCATTTGATTAACTGCACTTTCCAAATGAACAAATACATAGAATAATAAGACAACTAATTAAATGTTCTATAGTTCGTTAGCAAAATAGGAAACAGTAATATACATACGATTTAGTTTTTTATTATAAACAGTACTGACTTACAAAACAGAAAAATATTAAATAAATCAAAACTCGTTGTCTCAAATAAAAAATTACTAAGATAAATAAATTGGGACAAAATGTCAGGTACTTATCAATCAAGTAAACATTTAAGTAAACTTAAATCCTTAAATATTCGTCATGTATAAAATCAAAATGATAAAATTCTTGTTTACTTACTTAGAATTTTAAGAATGTGCTTTGAAAATACTTCGTACTTACAACTTGTATAGTTGGTAATAACACAAAAAATATATTACTGATTATTTGTAAAGTAATACAATAATTCATATTGGTTAAAATCATATGATTACTTTTTTGTTTTAGAAACACCATTCTACTATTGGATGAGTATTAGTTCATCAATTTTGAGCACGTGTTGATCATAGTAAATTACACCTTATTCTATAGGATTTGAAAAATAATTAATCTTATTGTAAGCAAACATGGATAGTGGCTAGCAGTGGAATCCAAGATGCGCGTTTTATCCTATTTGGGACTCTTCAGCTGGATGTACCTAGATAAAGCGATGGCGTTTGAAGCGAAAGGTACTAGGTTCGAGTCCCAGAGTGAACATCAACTCTGAGATGCAGGTACATCCAGCCGAAGAGTCCCAAATAGGACGAAACGCGTGTCACACTGGATTCCACTGATAGCCACTATCCATCTTTGCTTACAACACTTGTCAATTAAGGTTATATCGAGGCAATACGCACAGTATGCACATATGTCAATTAGAGACTGACCAGTTGCAGTCCTAACACATCGATGGGAAGATTCAAACAAACAATACTAAGTGAATTAATGTTATTGTTGTGTAAAAGATTGAATGACAAATGATATGACAACAAATAAAAATCTCGGAAGAATCAAAAAGTAATGAAATATAATTATTCTATCTTAGCCTAAGATGATTCACTAGTACAAACATCTAATTTTTGTGGAAAGACTACACCGAAAATCTTTAGGGTTTACAATAAGTATAATATTGTACTCATAGAAATGGATTGTAATTTTATTGTCCCTATTTTCAAATTAAATCATTTCAGGATATAGCATAAGGTGGAACTGTTGTACTTCAGAAAATGATCAAACTTGGAACTGTTATTTATATCAGATGGATTGTAGAGATTGTTTCATCATGGATGGACATTAGTTGGAGGGAAATTTTAGAAGACATTGAAGTATTGGGGATTACTGTTTGGGATATAGTATTTATCTACAGAAACTAAGAATGAATGCATATTCTTACAAAAAACGATTATTTTCCAAAGTTTCATGGAAACTAAAGACTTCGGAATAACTGAAAATAATCACAAGGAAATTAGCTGATTAATGATTCTTGATTAATATCTATATTATTATGGATACATAAATCATTAATTATCTGTGGATAGAAGAATACATGCAGTGTGGAATCAAACGACTCATGTTCATACGGGAATCTGAACATTAAAATAGATAAATATATTTGTATGAATTTTTTAGATAATTTAAAACTTCCAAACTTAAATGACTGAGACGTTAGTTACATTTATAAAAGAACGGTCAAATCAACTAGATATTCGTCAAATTAATTAATAAAAATAAAACCACAAACATACCAAGAATAGATATAGAGCATTAAATGATTGTTGTAATGATTGTTATAACAATTGACTAATATATAAATAAGCGTTATATTTTCTGGGAAAAGCTAATTAGCTAAGATATAATAGCCTCACAAGTAATAGACACAAAGAAATTAAATGGAAAGAAGGAGGTTTAAATCCAATTTGAAATGGATAGCATTATCTTGTTCGTGATATTTTTGAGTGAAATTCGGTCACTTTTGATTAGGATACGTGAAACTTATGGGAGATACTTATATATAACCAATATGACACAAGTTAGTATACAGTAAATGGAACGTTGGTAGATGTTGGATACAGGACGCGTGTTTCATCCCAGTTCGGACTCGTCGGCCGAATGCACCCGCACCCCACGTTTAATGTTCACTCTGGGAATTGAACTGAAACGTTCGCTTGGAGCGCTATCGCGTTGTCGATCAAGATATCAAGTCTAGATAGCCACTCACTTATGCAACGAGTATGAGTTTTAATTTAATTTGAAATGGATTGGAAAGAGGGAGATTATAAACTCATATAAAAGGAAATAAATAAATAATTCGAAAGATCAAAGTAAAAGGATATGATAAATTGATCATTGTAAGTTTGACAGCGTTCACTTCAAAATAAAAAGTAACAATAATTCAAGTACAATATACAGATTAAATTACGAAGAGAGCATGAGTAAAGATTTGAGGAGAATAGTGTGAATTCATCTTCATTTCGTTCCGTTTTTGTCAGCTGCCCACAATCAACCTATAATATCATGAAAGTGGTGAGATGTAAATACTTATCATCATAGTAAAGTGGCTATTTAGATAAGCTTTTAAATTGAAAAAAAACTAGTGTTGCCAATAAATACAATATACGAGAGATGAACATTGAAATAATGACCAAAGATCCCAACATCAAATAATTGGTTAACTACATAATGAGGTTACTGAACAGTTTTAATAGGAATAACAAGTTTTGAAATTAGTCAGTTTAAATCATTGACTACTGTATTAAGAGCGCGTATCGTTGTCCCTAAATATTTAAAAATAATTAACTTTAGAGATCGAATGTGAGATTTTGTTGTTTGTTTTTAACTGTAGTTTGGTCTACTTATATTCATATAAGTAGTATATAGTAATGGTTGGACATAGAATGTATTTTGGCAGAAGACCGGTAAGGAAAGAACTGAAATGAAGCGCAATTGGTAGGAAAACGCACAAACAATCGAATTAGAGAGGACGCATTGATATTTACAGAAGGAATGGTGAATATTGAGACAATTGATAGTTATTTTGCAAATTAACTGTTCATTGTATGTGTCATGATAGACCAGTCAAATGATTGTTATTAACTTCATTAAAATCTCTAGATTGAGGTTTTCCTATTCCCATTCCCGATCAAATCGCAATGTAAGTCAGTGTCCTAAGATATGTATATGATTGCAACCTAGTTTCACTAACTTTTTCTCAAGTTAAACTTAAAAACAGTACAATTGCTGTTACTTTGTGCCATCAAATGAGGTTAACAACTATAATTAATATCTCAAACGTAAACTGAGTTAAACAATTTAAAGTATTTTGTAGGGATTTGTTCAGTTTAGAATAGATCATCTAAGGTTCATTTAATTTTTTTACGCTCTAAATTAAAACCAGGCGTAAATTATCGCTCACTCGTAATTATTTTATTGACTACTGTAGTGAAAAGTCATTCTCTAAAATAAGCAGTCAACGTCACTACTGAATTTGTTAGTTTTGATTAATTAGCTGAAGGAGGATGATTAAAGACCGACAGGTTTTCTTGGTACACCACTGCTGTTATAAGATGCTCTTTTAATTCATTATGTAGCTAGCTTAGTATTTTTTTCTTCGTTTAATTCTGCATGAGAATATATATCATTCTATTAATGCTGTCCTTCTCTTCAGAGACAAGCTATATTTATCCAGGTTACCTGAGTACACCGTTTGAAGGAGCTCCGTTGGCGGTATCCAAAGATTCTGATGAAATACATGTTTTAGAACGAATACTTAAAAATAAGGTCTTCAGAGTGTAATAACGAAATATGTGGGACAGTCATACCATTTCTACATATGCCAAGGGTTATCAGTCTATACGTTCGCTACCATAAGTGGCTACAAGCGGTATAAGAGTTTTTATCAGAAAATATTGGATTGGTCTATTTCGTACATAATACCATTAGCATTAAAGAACCTAGTGTGTTGAACTCAAAACTACACTGTAAATACAGTCCAACTATACTTAACCTTGTCAATACCTAGGGAAAACATTTTATGTCTAAAACTTCCCAAGACATAGTTATTCTGTATGACGGTGGATGCTTAAAGGAAGATTAGGAACTAATACCAACAAATCATAGCGACTGAACTATCCAAACAGACTTCAGAAATCCTTTGTTGACATTGTAATTTCTTTCTGGAATTTTACTCTGCTAACTCACTGATAAATAAGCAACAAAACACTGGTTCACTGCACTATTAATTCCCTAATTTTCCTGCTACATTTTCGCGATTTGTGAACCTTTACATCACTGTGAAATTTTACTGTTTTTTAACATACTGAACGATACTAAGATGAGTCCAATCTTTAGAGCAGGAAAATTTATAGTAGTAAGTGATGGAAAACAGACTTGTATGTGAACTCTATGAAGAATTACATTCTTACATTTGAGAACGTAGTCTATGATCAAATTCTAGAAAATACTTGAGTTCAGTTCATCCCAGGAAAACGGCATTCCTTAACTGTTATAGACATTTATTAAGATAAACTATATATATTTGGGGAAACATCAGGAAATAAATACTGCTGGGACTATGGTTGTAATCAATTGAGAACATAAATTAGTTATTTGTTTATACTACTCATTAATGATGAATAGTATAATGATGTATTCCAGGACCATTATCGATTCGATAGTTTTGATTTCCTCGAAAAAGCTTGAACCAGACTGCCGAGAGAGACGTTGGATTTACTTCAAATTCAGCAGCTGAGATTCTACAAATACATTCTTCCTTAATGTTTTACATCAGCTCGTCGATCAGATGCTATGAAACTATTTGTTCAGACTTAGACGAAAGTCCTTATATAATCCAAGACCAGTTAATGATCAAAGCGAAGGTGAGATAATTTATAGACGACCTTTGAGCAACGCCAAAGTGACCTTGAGGAAACTCATCTACCTGCTAAGGTCTGAAGAGGATGATAAATTAACGCGAGAGATCAGAATCGAGATTTAGAGTTATAAGTCAGGGTTCCCATCAGGAACTGATCAGATTGTAAACGCTATTTCGCTCCAAAATCCAATACTCGCCATCTTAAATCTGATTGTTTCGCCCACAAATTATAATCCCGTCAACATGGATTCAGAAAGTGGGAAGTAGATAGTTACGACGTCGTTTATTTATGTAAATATTGTGCCCCTAACATCGGGGCTTTGAAAGTAATTCTGTAGATATTTTTATGATGTGGAAGAATTAGGTTCAGAATTCAAGCCATGTTCACCTACCCATAAGTGTTAGTCAAATACGCTGAGCAGTATCTCAGCCCTCACACAAATCAAATGAGATTTGTGCTGCGCATATTTACCTGGTGCTTTTTGTACCAATATTTATGTGTTCAAATAATAATAATAATAAATACGCTGAGTAATGGTTTTGCGGGCTTTCTCTCATAAGATTATGAGCCATTATAACTAGGTAAACCTATATGAATAGTAACACTCAACAACATTGGAATTTCGTCATATTTATATAAATTAGAAAAGCAGAATCGGGACAACAAATGATTTCTATGTTGTGGACAATTAGGAAAATACTAACAAAATGAAAAAAAGTAATGTTTAGGAAATGCGAAGGTAATAAAAATTGTTGCAGAAACTACAATCAATAGTTATTGCAAACTAAATTGAGATGTTTATGCTCACTGTCATGAATTGACAACGACAAACCTTTGGACTACCAAACTTTCCAAGTGTAAGTTAAAATCTCTTCTTAAAAAAATTTTTTAAACAGATAAAATAGCTGAAACAACCGATCTGGCTACTTGATTAGCATAATGAAACAGCGAATGTGAAGAACTATCAACTGGGAATTCGAAAAGTAAGACGTAAGTCGCTAGTCAGATATATTAATCGTAACGTGACTAGTCGAAACTTTATTTGACGAAAGTCTTTATACACGTTGTGAATAAAAAACTAACCTCAAACTATTCGTGTTGCAAGAGTTAATAAGCTAGATAGAACTTAGTGAATAAAAAAGTCTTGATTCCCATGTGATGAAATTTCTACAAAGGTAGGTAGGATGACTTTGTAAAGGCCAAAACGTGGTATCAGTCCAAGTCACTGACCATTAGAGTGAGTTGTGTTGGTAAATACAAACTACCTAGTTGGGGCCCGGACGATTACCACTACCAGTGATTAGAGACGTTGAGTGACATGGCTAAGAAGCGATCGCAATGAAGTATATATCTTTCAAACCTTGATTTTCGAAACTGTGTTTTTTCGCTTCACAAATTCATCCTCTCCCGAGTCATATATCCTACTATCAGTGGCACTGTTACTACTTCTGCTACTATTACTTTGTCTTGATAACACGATTTCGCTGTGCTGCATCAAATCGATCCACGTATGTACCAGGTTCTACATGGTGTTTAACTGGATGATCATATACAGACATATATTTGAATGTTTGTGTATAAGATGAACTAACTGTACTTCAAATAAACTGATTTGATAAATCTCACTGAGCAGAGTATAATTCTACATTAAGAAATGGTATCCATCGAGAACATGTGTTCATAATTTGAGACAAGTAAACAATGGATTTAAGGTGGATTCAATGAAAAATGTTTGCTTCAGATAGATATGCGTAAAAAAAGACACATTGAAATATACAATATATGAAAGACGATTTCAAAATAAGATAAAAATATACATGGAGTCTGAAAATTGTTCTTATATTAGGCCTTCCATTTCACGCATAAACTCTTCATATGCATCGTCTTTGCTAGTAGCTGACCCAGAATTAATTCCTGTAGTATCAGATTTAGCAACACGATCATAAACAGCATTCGGTTGTTCTAAAATTGAGATAAAAAATAGAATGGCTGGATTATTTGTGTAAAATATAAAGTAATACTTTGACTAAGATGTTTCGTGTTTTAAATTACATATACGTGAGGCCCCAATTAGAGTATCGCATCTAAGTAGTTAGTCCATGTCTAATTAGGGATGCGATCACACTCGAGCATGTTCAATTTGTGGAACTAAGTTTGTGATGGGTCCAAACTCACCTACGATGAGCGCTTAAAACAACTAGATCTTTTTTTATTGTAGAACTTGAGGTGACCCTGTAGTAACGTTCCGTATCACAAATAATGATGTAGGGAGGCATGATTCAAAAGCGGCCACAGCGAAACAAGCGTCTCGATCATATATCTTTCTCTAGAACTCCAGATTATTGCCATGGTCTAGTAGTGTTTAGAACTGCATTCACAAATACTTCATAAACTAGCATTATAAAACGTGTAGGAAGAACATTGATATTTGTTTTTAAAGAACCATTCATAAAATATCCAACTTCCTGATACAGTAATTAGTGATAAGAAACTGACAATGTCCCGTCACATCCAGAATAGGGAGAAATCTAACTTGTTAAATATACAGAATATAAAAACGTTTACAGAAGTATCATATAAGAAAAGAAATACTAAATAGACTGGTCCTTTTAAAACTATAGATTACTATAATGTAAACTTACTTGCTGTTCCATATACACTTGTGCCCCCACCTGTAGTGACTAGACGACCACTAGTATCACGAACAATTCTACGTACTTTAAGAGCTGTAGGGACAAAACGCGTTGCGTCACCGATCAAATTTTTCAGTTGTGGCTTTGCTTCTATAGTAGTTCCACTTGGATTTGGTTGATTTGTTGGAATGCTTGCTACAGCTGGACCACTTACAAGTTCAGCATTATCAAGTGGATCACGAAGGTGCAAACTAGGTGGAGCTGATAGTATAGCTCCAGTGGCTGAATGAAAACATGGTTGAGGTTAGGTTAAAACACTAGTAAGGAAAAAAACGCTTTTTATTTAAATGAACTTTTACAATTTTGTACAACAATTAAAAAAAAGTCTGTATGATGGCTTAATCTAATGAGCCGAACAGATGTAAAGTAAGAAAAACGACGTTGAAGTGGTATGCCGCATAAAATTACATTACTGGTAATTGTTCCTCAGAACTCCCAGATCTTTGGTGCTGTTGAGAAAGACTACAGCAGGATCGCCACTGGCTTCTATTCTGAGTCATATCTGATAACGTCTCTAAACATTGTGCTGCACCATCTCTTGGACCCCAACCAGGGAGTCGTGAAGGACCACCACCACTTCAATCTGCTCACCATCCAGGGTGAGTACAGGATTAGAATCCTGCCAGTCTTGTAGAAGTACATTGCACTTCGAAGGTGCAAAACACATACCGTACCTATGGAAACTGATTGCTAACTGATTAAGTGCGGATTGCATGCCTTGGGCATTATCACACAGTAAGACAATATCACCCGCATACTCAAGGTCGAGAAGTCTTTCTCCAGGCAACAGATCCACACCGCCATTACTTACATTCATCATAGCTGTTTCTAGGATGTCGTCGATGGCAAAGTTGAAGAGGAATGGTGAGACTGGGCAACCCTGTCTAACCCCACTGCTTGAATGAAACAAGGGAGAAAGGTGGTTGTATGCCCTCACTCTACCTGAGGCGTTTGTATACAGGGCCTTTAAAATGTTAATAAACTTCTCAGGCACACCCTTCTTTAATAGACAATCCCAGAGGAAAGTCCTGTCCAACGAATCGAAGGCAGCCCTGACGTCAAGAAACACTACGATTGTTGGCCTGTAATAAGTATGACGGTGTTCTAACATTTGGCAGCGGGATACACATATAGAAAAAGGTGTATTAGACTAAGGATATACAATTAGTAAAAGACCCAAGGTATATTTAAAACAATAGGTCCTAATATCCAGCTTTTGTGGGACTCATTGCCAATACTGATTAAATACACAGTGACTTGTCTTAGTTAATTAACGTGTAACGAGGTGTCAGATATAAGTAATGAAATGTTTTGAAAATGACTTACGGCGTTGGTAAGTGAAACGACTTAGAGTTGGCTGAGGTGCTCCTGGAAATCCTGGACGAATGAGGCCAGTAAAGGATGGTAAAGCCATGGGTGGCGGCAAAGGGATTTGAGAAAGCGGAGGAGTAATAGCTGAAAAATGAAGTAAGAAACAGAGTCACATGATTGGATTGCTAAGAGTTAATCAACCGACGACATGAAATGTTTCGTGACAAGAATGTTTCCTCAACTGATTTAAAGCAGCCGTTTTGCTAGGAATGGTGAGTGGAAAATATACCAGAAGAATATGGACAAACACTATATATTGATTAGACCAACATTTCCTAGTAAGTTTTAGAAAAACGGAGTGCGTTTTGAAATTATTGACTCCTAATACCTAGTTTTTGATCAGGACACGTCCACCGGTAGAAAAATGTCTACGTTAGTAACAAAATTTGGAGGAGAATGACCATATATAGAATTTGTGAACATATTTTAAATGTATAGCAAAAAATAACTCCCAGATTGAGTAAAAAAGGTCAAGAGCTTGACTTACTTGTAAATCCACCGGTGAATTTCTCGCCGAGATGCAGAGATGAATCACCAATTAGTTCTTCTTGCTCTGGCTTTACAGAAAAGTCATTACATATACAACTTTACATACCATAGGATCTGCATCAGCGAACCGGATTTTGCGTTGCTTTGTCGTGTTATCAACAGAATTGTCTTCTTCTTCGCTATCTGACAATTCAGGAGGTGTTCCTGGAGGTGGTCCAGGTGGTTTGCGACCTGCAGGAAGTATACTAGGTGGGAGCCCTGGAGCTCTGTCGGTAAAAAAACAGGACAAATTAAAACTAAGTTTGTTGTTTTGGAACCTAATGCAATTGTATTAATATGAGATCACAAAATGGTGAGATGAGTTTACTCCCTAAGCTCCGTAATTCCGAATAGTATGAAGTTGTGTTATATCCTCAACAAGTCCTCGTTTGCATCATGATCTTTTCATTTATGCTGAAGCAGTGTGTGAGAGACAAATGATAGCTTACTGTTACATTTTATTTTACCGATCCTAATTGTTGATTTAGAACAGCATAAATATATGCCCAAGTTTTTTAATACCATTGATACTATTGTAACCTCTACTGTTCTGTGATTTGGTCACACGATTTCATCTGTGTGCATATATATATATATATATATATATATATATATATATATATATGCCCTGGTACGGCTGAGAGTGGGGAGAGTCACCTCTCCCTCTCGAAATGCTATCATATGGCCAGCGAATATATAGCCTCTGCCAGGGAAGTCCTACTCACTGCCTTCTCGTGGCACCGGTGTTGTTTACGAAAGTGAGAGGACGAAAAGCGAATGTCCGGCGCTTTAACCGGGTTGGTGGACACGGAGGGTCCACCTAGAGGAGTTGGAAAACCCTGATTCCAAACCAGTGGTGCACATGGGCTCCAGTATCCTGAGGGAACAAATGGCGTACGAATCAACCGTTGATCACCGGCTACCATGGGACTGCATCTCCTCACGATGCTCCACTGCCTTGTGGATCAGACATTCAGGTCAAAGGCTCGTGGTGTGGCCCCTTAAGAAAACCACCTGCTTCAGTCTGGGCACCTGTGCAGTATCACAGCCCTCACACAAATCGAGTGAGATTTGTGAGGCGCATATTTATCTGGTGCTTCCTTGTACCAATATTTATGTGTTTAAATAAATAAATATATATATATATATATATATATGTAGTAATAGTGGCTGGTGACTTTATTGCTCAAGTAGGTAAACTAAGTGAAAGGGAAAGACACCTGGGTGGATCTTATGGCGTCATGGCGAAAAGAACAGATAATGGCGACCGTCTGTCGCAGCTGTGCTCAGATAACCGCCTATTTCTTGCAAATACTAACTTTAAGCATAAGGAAAAACATTTTTCGACATGGCGACCCCCGAATTCATCCCAACGCTGGACCCAACTAGATCACATCTCTATCAGCCACCGATGGAGGGGCTCGATAGAAGACTGTCGCTCATTCTGGAGCACATGTTTAGACTCATGCTCTAGTGCGAGCACGTGTCTGTCTGCGTCTTACTGGACGTAGGAAAGACACTGCAGGGAAGCCCCTAAGGGTTCTTGATGATAGGCAAGCTAAGAATATATTTCAGGAACAACTGGAAAAACAGTTAGACAGACATGTAAGCAGTGCCCACCCCGAGGCAGCGTGGAATGACATCCGAAAATCAGTGGAAACAGCAGTGATATCTGCTAGTAAGATAAGCCATAAGGTTAGGGAGAAACAATGGATCTCGGCAGCATCTACCGCACTGACAGATGCTCGAAAACTCATCCCACCTGGCTCTGAACATAACGAGGAGCGGAGTCAGCTTAAGCGCAGGCTAATAAGAAGCCTACACAATGACCGTGAACAGTGGTGGGTAGCGAAAGCAAGAGAAATGGAAAAGACAGCGGCAATAGGTAACAGCAGACAGCTATTCAGACTTGTTAAAGAAACCGGTATTAGGAACCCAACTATTATCGAAACTATCTCAGAAAAAGACGGGCATATCATTCATTCTCAATCCAGGAGATTGGATCGATGGGCAGAACACTTTAGGGATCAGTTCAAATGGCCTTCAGCCACACTTCAGTTACCCACGATCCCCAGTCGTCCTCAATGGCAAATTGATATAAGTCCTCCAGCTCTCTACGAGGTTGGAAAAGCCATAGGAAACCTGAAGCGAGGGAGAGCAGCAGGCCCTGACAGGTTTACCCCTGAGATTTTTAAGGACGGTGGTCCAGTACTAGCAACGAGATTGACTGAGGTCTTAAGTAGAATCTGGGAACTGGACGTAATTCCATCTGACTGGTCCCAATCACTGATTGTGCCAGTCTATAAGAAAGGATAAAAGTCCTCTTGTGACAAACACAGAGGGATCAGTTTAACTAATATAGTGTCTAAAATATTAGCGTCAATAATACATGGACACCTAACCAAAGCTCGTGAAGAGCAGACTAGAGAAAACCAGGCTGGTTTTCGACCTGGACGTGGTTGTATAGACCAGATATTCACACTACGTCAGGTCCTAGAACATAGACATACGTTCAGACGTCCCACAATAGTAGTATTTCTTGACCTTAAGGCGACATTTGACTCCGTTGATCGTGAGGTTCTATGGCAGTTTGTCAGTGAAAGGAGTACCGAAGAAGTACATTAACCTCATAAAGGCTCTCTACTCAAACACAACTGGTCGAGTTAGAGCCTATGGCGAACTGTCATCAGAATTGGTTACCTGAAGTGGTGTTCGTCAGGGCAGTCCACTCTCCCCATTCTTGTTTAACTTTGTCGTTGACATGCTTTTAGAGATATCACTTTCATCATCTTAATCTCCTGGAGTTGAACTTTTACCGGGAGGCTCACTTGTTGACTTAGAATACGCGGACGACATAGTTTTATTCGGTGAAGACTCTGACAAAATGCAGTCTTCTGACCACTTTAAGCAACAATGCAGGCATGTTCGGGATGCGATTCTCTCCCTCGAAGTGCAAAATGTTACTTCAGGATTGGGTTGCATCGACACCTGAACTAATGATAGGGAGTGAAGTAGTTGAGCGCGTAGACCATTTCACTTATCTTGGGAGTCTCACCAGCCCTTGTGGTCTGGTGTGTGACGAAATCCCAGCACGGATACAGAAGAATCGTCTAGCTTTCACCAACTTGCGTCATTTATGGCGTAGGCGAGATATCCGTCTAGCAACCAAAGGACGGGTTTACTGTGCAGCAGGTCGTTCCATCCTACTTTATGGCAGTGAAACATGGCCAATAAGAGTAGAGGATACTCGTAGGCTACTAGTGTTCGATCATAGGTATCTTCGAAGCGTTGCTCGTATATCCTAGGACCACCGGGTAAGTAATGCAGATGTTAGGAAACGGGTACTAGGTAAGGATGGCAAATCGATTGAAGTAGTGAAACTTCATCAGTTGAGATGGCTGGGACATGTGTTACGTATGCCCGACCACCGACTGCCCCGACGTGCAATGTTTCATGGTGTAGGAGTAGGTTGGAAGAAAGCTAGGGGTGGCCAGACCAAAACGTGGCACAAATCAATGAAGTCACTGACAAGTGGACTGGGCCATGTTGGTAGGTGTAGACTCAGTCAGTCAGTCACAACGTAGAACTTCGTACGTACGTACATCAGTTCGAGTTGCCATATCACATTAGCACAGAGATGCAGTTGTCCATTCAAATCCCATAGTGGTAGAAGTAGTAGGAGTATAATCAGAAATCCAAAAGATTAGGGTTTGAAGAAATTATTGAAGGAGTATAGTACAGTGAAATAAATTTGGAAAGAGAAAAAGATAAAAACATGAGGAATTCAGAAGATTAGAATTTGGTAGAACACAAAGAGTGGATGCACCTTCGCCATTGCAAACGATTTTGAGCCATGTCATTCAAGGTCTCTAACCATCGGTTGCTGTCATCTCGCGAATCCCAACCAGGTAGTCTACACCTACCAACATGGCCCAGTCCACTTGTCAGTGACTTCATTGATTTGTGCCACGTTTTGGTCTGGCCACCCCTAGCTTTCTTCCAACCTACTCCTACACCATGAAACATTGCACGTCGGGGCAGTCGGTGGTCGGGCATACGTAACACATGTCCCAGCCATCTCAACTGATGAAGTTTCACTACTTCAATCGATTTGCCATCCTTACCTAGTACCCGTTTCCTAACATCTGCATTACTTACCCGGTGGTCCTAGGATATACGAGCAACGCTTCGAAGATACCTATGATCGAACACTAGTAGCCTACGAGTATCCTCTACTCTTATTGGCCATGTTTCACTGCCATAAAGTAGGATGGAACGACCTGCTGCACAGTAAACCCGTCCTTTGGTTGCTAGACGGATATCTCGCCTACGCCATAAATGACGCAAGTTGGTGAAAGCTAGACGATTCTTCTGTATCCGTGCTGGGATTTCGTCACACACCAGACCACAAGGGCTGGTGAGACTCCCAAGATAAGTGAAATGGTCTACGCGCTCAACTACTTCACTCCCTATCATTAGTTCAGGTGTCGATGCAACCCAATCCTGAAGTAACATTTTGCACTTCGAGGGAGAGAATCGCATCCCGAACATGCCTGCATTGTTGCTTAAAGTGGTCAGAAGACTGCATTTTGTCAGAGTCTTCACCGAATAAAACTATGTCGTCCGCGTATTCTAAGTCAACAAGTGAGCCTCCCGGTAAAAGTTCAACTCCAGGAGATTAAGATGATGAAAGTGATATCTCTAAAAGCATGTCAACGACAAAGTTAAACAAGAATGGGGAGAGTGGACTGCCCTGACGAACACCACTTCAGGTAACCAATTCTGATGACAGTTCGCCATAGGCTCTAACTCGACCAGTTGTGTTTGAGTAGAGAGCCTTTATGAGGTTAATGTACTTTTTCGGTACTCCTAAACATGTGCCCCAGAATGAGCGACAGTCTTCTATTGAGCCCCTCCATTGGTGGCTGATAGAGATGTGATCTAATTGGGTCCAACGTTGGAACGAATTCGGGGGTCGCCATGTCGAAAAATGTTTTTCCTTATGCTTAAAGTTAGTATTTGCAAGAAATAGGCGGTTATCTGAGCACAGCTGCGACAGACGGTCGCCATTATCTGTTCTTTTCGCCATGACGTCATAAGATCCACCCAGGTGTCTTTCCCTTTCACTTAGTTTACCTACTTAAAGTCACCATTAAAGTCAGCATTAAAGTCACCAGCCACTATTACTACATCAGAACGCCTAGCTTCTCGGAGAAGGTCAGAAAGT